AGGTTATAAATTTAACATTCAGGGAGAGACAACATATTGCAGTTTAAAGAAATGCCCTTTGTATAATATTATTCAGAGTCCTATTGTAGCGCTGTTGGATAAGCACTAGCTGCTAACCACAAAGCTGGTGGTTCAACCTCACCAGCTGAGCCTTTGAAACTCTATATAGGATCACTATTAGTTAGAACCGAGTAGACGGCACTTAACAACAACATAATGTTATTTAAACCCTTCCCCTATAGCTGGCACTCTGAATTTGGACTTCTAGTCTCCTAAACTATGAAGAATAGATTTCTGTTTATTACAGCCATCCATTTGTGATATTTCTGTTATAACAGTCAGCACTAGATAACTAAGACACAACTATTAGGTCTTTCATTTTGAAGAAAAATTATTGTGGATTTAAAATAAAATAAAATTTATTTTACAAACTACTATTTTGTATATACAAATTCTAAGGACACATCAAATGCACTGCATAGGTCACCTTATGTTGTTATAGATGTTATACTTTCAGAATGCTTTGTACTCAAATACTTTACCATTTAATTTTCTGTTACACTACCAAAATATACCTCCAGACAATCCTTCCAAAAATATGATCAGGAAATATGATCAGGAAAACAAAACTCAGCTTTTCCTCCTTTCTATTAACATTCGCCCTGTTTATACCTATTAATGATTCCCAGTGTCTTACGTGTGTTCATTTTGTTATGTTGTTCTTGTTAAGTGCCATCGAGTCAGTTTTGACTCATAACGGCCCAGTATAGGGTTTCCAAGGCTGTAAATCTTTGCAGGAGCAGAAAGCCTCCTCTTCCTCCCATGGGGTGACTGGTAGGCTCGAACTTCTGACCTTGCAGCTCACAGTCCAGTGCTTATCCTATAGAACTATCACACTCTCATTTCGTAACTATTGTTGTTAAGTGCTGTTGAGCCGGTTCCAATGCATAGCGACTCTGTAAAGAGTTTCCAAGGAGTGGTTGGTGAGTTTGAACCGTGGATCCTGTGGTTTAAACCGGCCTTGCGGTCCAGTGCTTTATCCTACAGTGCCACACCAAATGAACTATGGGGATGATGCACTACATGAACTACTGAGAAAGTCCACCAGTTTCTGCTATTAGGCAGCATGGTGACATACTTCTTAGCAAAACCAAGGCAGTTCTCCATCCCTTACAGGAGACTGAAACATGTCACACCAGCATATACTTACAAGTATTGTATTACGTGACAAAGGCAAAGCAGTAAAACTAGCTTAACAGTAACAAGCGTGTTAGAACTGCTATAGAAAGCAATTTAAGGAGGTTATCCCAAAAAGTCAACTTTTGTTTCTCATTCCAAACTGCTGTTATGATAATTACAACATGGATGAACCTTGAAGACATTACGCTAAGTGAAAGGAGCCAGTCACAAAAGACTACACGTTCTGGGATTCCCTTATGTGAAATAAAAGAAAGCAAAACCATAGAGACAAATGCTGATTCAGGGAAGGGACAGGGCAGTAGGTACAGAGAAAAAGTGCTTTGTGTGCACAGGGTCCCTTGATAAGGTATCGAAAATTTAGCATTACACTGTGGTGATGATTATACAACTCTATGAATATATTAAAAGACACAGACTATAAGTGAATGAATTTTATGGCATGTGATGTGAATTTTGATACATCTATTTAAAAAATGAACTATATAAAATTGAAAATGGGCTTACTCACTTGCACTAGTCATATATCCAAGTGTTTAACAGCTATGTGTGTGACTTACTTAAGTGGCTACTATACTGGATAGTACAACTATCTGTCATCCCATCATCATGGGAAGTTCCAATGGGATGCACTGCTTCACAGCATTAAGAGGCAAGATAATACGAAGAAGAATGTGGCAACATAACCAAGTTACTACTAACAATGAAAGATTGCACATCCCACAATAACCAAGCTACACTCAATCTGTAACAAATATAGTCTAAGACATAAGAGTAATTTTTTTCTCCTTGTTGTTAAGTTCTGCCAAGTCAGTTCTGAGTTATAGCGACCCTGTATAGGGTTTCTAAGGAGTCACTGGCGAGCTTGAACCGACAACCTTATGGTTCAAACAGACTTTGTAGCCCAGTGTATTAACCTGCAGTGTCACACTAGGCCTCCTTTTCTCTCTTATACATGTGTAAATGAAACAAGGCAAAATAATTATATATATATATTTAAAACAAGAACAAACCGATTGCCAGACTCCTTCTAGACCCTCCTAAGTCTGTGAAAGATCACTGCACTGCTCTGTTAAGACAGTCAAACAATCAAAACTTCCATGGCTGTGCTGCTGCCTCTGAAAATAGGGACTGACGTTTCTCATACAAGAACCAGTAAAGGGCTGACAGTATATAGAATCAGACATAGTTCATACATTTCATATGCAGGTGTGAATTTTTTTTAAATGAATTTTAAAGAAATTCCTTCATATTATACTATTCAAATATAAGTGTTTACAATGGCCTACACATAACATATTATGATGTTTCTACAGACTCCTGGTGTGGCGCTGTAGGGTAAGCACTGGACTGTGAACCACAATGTTAGCAGTTCAAATCCACCAGCTGCTCCACAGAAACCCTATAAAGGGTTGCTATGAGTCGGAACCAAGTCAACAGCACTTAACAACAACAGCAACATGGCCATTTCAAAACCTAAGACTGCTAAATTACGCTTAGTTCTCATTTCGTAATGTAAGGCTATTTTTTGTTTGCGTTATACTGACATCAAATGGCAATGTGATGTAATGCATTATATCAACTGCTTTCCTCTGCTTTGAAAACCTAAAGGGATTTTAAGGAATCGACTCAATAGTAATGGGATAATAGGATAAGAGTCTAAAGAGAGTATGTGACCTGAGGATTCCTAGAGATCCTACTAAAGCTCAGTTGTTTCAAAAGTAATTCTAGCACTAAGCAATTCTATCATTTAGGGTTTCTGCCACTCATCAGCTCTGTGACCTTAGACAAGACGATGCACCCTTCTGTACAGTTTAACTTTGCTGATCTACAAACTGTGGCTAACAGTACGACACACCTCAGAGGATGGGTATGAGTACTAAAGTACATGTACAAACAAAAGAAACAGTGCCAAGTACACAGTAAATAATTAATATGAGCTTGCAGATTAGGATTCCCCTATTAATACACAAATATGAAAGAAAGGATTGACACTTTACTCAAATTACAGAGGTCGGCTTTTTAACTTGCCAGCTATCTGGAATAGTAAGAAACTGCAAGAAGAGAAAGATAATATGTGGGGTCTTCAAAAAGTTCATGGAAAATTATAATAAAAAGATAATGGAATTTTTCCGTAAGCTTTTTGAAGCTCCCACCTACGTACAGATTTAGGGGCACTAAAGGGAAATTGGAGTCCTGATGTGGTGCTGTGGACTAATGCGTCAGACCGCAAAGTCATTTGAACTGCAAGGTCGGTGGTTCAAGTTCACCTGCTGCTTCTTGGAAACCCGACACAGGGTCGCTATGGGTCAGAATCGACTCAATGGCACTACACAACAATAACAAAGGGAAATTGGTAAGAAATCAAAACCCATCTTGGTCTTATGACTATCCCTCATGCTAAATCCATGTGCAATGTATGTGCATAAATTTGCAAGCTTAACCACTTTGGCTAAATGTGCTGCCAATTCAGTTAATCAGTTTATTAGTTTTGTGTTTCCAATACAGATTGAAAGCTCAAAATACAATGGTCTTATCATCAGAGCTATAACCTCATTATATAAACTTTAGTAACTTACACATACTTTAACAGTCATTTAAATAAGTTATATTGACTCCGAAAACCCTTTAAAAATATCTACCTAATTCTAAAACTAAATAATCTTTCTAAAATTCAGAATGGTAAAAACTTAAGTCATATAAAATAAAGATTCTCAATTTAAATATTTGCTAATGATTGAATATATAGATTTTAACTTAGGTAGTAAAACTACCTCCCTTCTAGTTCTAAGATTGCTCATCTAGTTCAACACCTTGTTCTAATTCCACTTTAGAAAACTAATAGCCATTATCTGTTCTAACCAACTGTCAAACGCTTCAGCCCATTCCCCAAGAGTAGCCTTGCTCTTGACTTTAGAAACAGGTTCTGTTGATTATGATATACATAAAGGTATGTTCCATACAGGCTATAAAAGTATCAGTAATTAGCATGGATATTAAAGGCTTCTAAGAGCTTCAATTAAGTAAAATACAGGTGGGTGATAGACACTTCCCTCTAAAGATGTTTTCCTGTTTCCCAGAGATATTTCCAACAACAGAAGCTATATGTTCCTCCTCTATGTTTTTGGGATTTTTTTCCCTATTCTCCTCTCAACTAACCAAACCATTACTTGACCAAACTTACTGCCAGTTCCAGAACTATCCCTGGAACAGAGCAAAGTTAAACCATTTCCAAGTGGGGCAGGTTCAACTCTAGCTAAAAAAGTGGACTAGGGGAAACATGATTAGTTTTAACTTTTAGTCTTTTAAAACTACAAGTGTGAAGAGAGATTTGTCAAAAAAAAAAAAAAAACAAAAAAGGAGCCTGGGCATATAAAGCCTTATGCAACACATGGCAGGTAACAAGTTTTGGTATCACTGATTAAAGTCATTGTTTTCATATGGTTCACCTAATTAGACAAATGTTGTTGTTGTTAAGTACAATAGGAGACAATTTATCAGACAACAGTTGTACAACTGAATTCAGACTCTTGCTCTATTTCCCATGGACTGGAGGGGAAAAAAGAGCAACAGAGAGGAACAACAATGTCTCACATCTACCAATAAAAAAGGGGTCACCACAAACAAAAATACCCACATGGAGATGTATAATACAATTAACCTAACCAGAGGTAATACATCAAAAATCCATGGATTTACATTTTTGGAACTAGTAAACATTTTTAAATGTTTAGATGTCTGTAACTCAAAATAAGTTCTATTCAGTGTTAGGAGGCCAGTGAATGAAGAAGGAATATACTTACATCACTTGAGAAAACTGTTCCTGTTTCAACAGCGACACCGCTACCACGCAGTTTCTATTACGAAATAAATAACTTATTACTTAGTTTTGTTTTTAATTTTATCCTAATTTATCAGCTTAGGCAAGGGAGCTAAGCTGATAGATCATTTTTTTCTAGCCCTCTTTTCAATCAAGTTTATCTTCAACAATAAACAGCATGGGGATCATATATTCTAAATGTTCTTCCACAGGATAGCTTAATCAATATATTACTAACAATGGAACAATACTAAATACTAAGTCCACCTAAATTTCACAAGAGAAGAAGTGTGAAGTACCACATCTCAGGACTTACTTACTGAATTCTTTGCCCAACAAAATGGCTGCCTTAAGCTGAACTATCTATATTTAGTGGCAAAGTTTTTAAAATAGGTGCCCAATAATGGGAAGATATTCTATAGGATTAAAATTAAATTATCCATAGCAATGCTAACTAGTTATAGTAACAATCAAAAATCTCAAATATTATATAGAAATTACCAAGGAAAATTTCAAATCAAAAGTCAGAGGCTGAAAGTGCAAGAGAAAAGTGACAGCGAATTTCTTACAAAAAATTTTTGTTTTGTTTTATTCAATAGTCTGCTGAGTACCAGCCATTGGTCTCCAAGTACAATGCTCTAAACTATCAAAAAAAAAAAAGAAGAAGAAGGCTTCTAAATGTCACTAAAAACTCAAAAACAAAGTATCTAACCTATCTAACCTTCCAACTAACTTGTACTTTAAAAAGTGTATTTATATTAGAATCATGAAATTGTGGTCCTTCTTATGAGGCAAAAACACAATAGAGAAAAAGAAAACCTCCAGACATAAGAGCATCACAAGACAAGTGAGCAAAGAAGTAAATAAAATCTCAGTTAATTAAATCTGGATGTTCTTAAAATGTACCACACTATTTACTGCTGTTGAGTCGATTCCAATTCATAGAAACCCCATAGGACAGAATGGAAATGTTCCGTAGGGTTTACAAGACTGTAAATGTTTACAGCAGCAGACAGCCTCATCTTTCTCCAGCAGAGCTGCTAATGTGCTTGAACTACCAATCTCGTGGTTGGCAGCCCAGCACTTAACCCACTGCGCCAGCAGGACTCCTGTTTCTTAAATAAGAAGTCAGTGATTTCATCCTAGTAAGATGCTCTGGAATAAGTGTTTTTTGCTGCTAAGAGAGAGAGGGGCAGTGCTATCCAGAACTAAGCAGAAGCCGTCACCAGACACTATGAAAGCAAAGCCAAAACTGCTGCCGAGTAGCCTGAAATTAACCTGGTAGCAAAAGAATTTGTAAAGCAGGAATACCACACCAAAACTTAAAAGGCCAAAGACATGGTAATAGAGGACTACACTAGAAATATATAGAAAACACATTAAACAGCAGTTATCTAATACTAAGAAGCAACATTGTCTAGACACTGAAATATCTATTCTCAGTAATAACTACAAGATATTTTACCCATTTGTTAGACACGGTTACAATCACAGTATTCATTCTAAAACTGACAAATTATTTGTGAGGCACAATAAAATTTAATTCCTAGGAGGAAAAGTTTAAAGTGAAATCACATAAAATGCTAATGGAAAAACACAGTATATATTCTTTCCAATCAATTTTCATTTTATGAATTCTGTCATAAAAAAGCTTCATTAACAATATACCAAAGTGATAAAAATAAGCTAAATGTAGTCTATTTAAAGAGAGAACTAATTTAAAAATAGCAAAAAAGAAAAATAAAATAGGGAGAGGGGAAGAAATATCAGTGTAAACATCGAGTCCAAATGATACTTGAGGGAGTTTCAAAGAGTTCAAGAAAAAATGGAATTGAAAGATTATGGAATTTTCCATGAACTTTTTAAAGCCCCCTCATACAAACTTAAAATGAATTGCTACTGTTGCTGATGTTAAATGCCGTCAAGTTGGTACTGACTCACAGTGACCCAGTACAGGGTTTCCAAAGAGCAGCTGCTGAGCTTGAACCACTGACCTTGCAGTCCAGCACATTAACCCACAGTGCCACACCAAGACTGCATTGCAAACTTTAAAATCTCATTTTTGCACATCCATGTTTCATGTTCTAAAAATCTTGGTTTTTTTAAAGCTCTCACAAATGCAGTACAATCTGCTAATTTGTACTCTTCTACAATTAATTTTTAAACCTAAGCCCAAATAGGTGTTAAAAACCAATGCTACTGACATGAAAATCTACATAATTAATTTTGTTCAAGACACTATAATAGCCTATCCAATACGAGCCCCTTCCCTCAACCTCCCCTCACCCACCATTAAAAAATAAAAAAGGCAATCAATGGTTAAGACAAAAGTAAATCTAAGAAAAATGGCATGGTGTCTCTCTCTTATGCCTGAAATTAAAATCCATTAAATACTGTTGCTGCTCTTGTTTAGTGCCATCAAGTTGGTTCCGACTCAGGGACCCCGTGTAGGGTTTCCAAGGAACAGCTGGTGGGTTTGAACTGCCAACCTTAAGGTTCGTAGTTCAGTGCTGATCCTACAGCACCACACCAGGAGTCCTTAAAGCCACCTAAAATCTAAATTACAATTTTTATAACTTTATTTCAAGTACAATTTTGTTTGCAACCTAATACTGACAATTCACTGACTCTCCATATTATTTCTCCTGCCCTTGTTCCTCCATTTCACCCCATGTCACCCCCTCAACAAAATCTGATTCTCTTCTACTTTCCCCAACTCCCAGAATACTATGGCCCACATTCCCTTTTTACTTCACCTCATTCCTGAGATCATTCCCACCAAGTCACCCCTTAACCACTAAACACTTAATATCTAGAAGCACACACAAAAGCACATTCCACAGAGCCTCAATACATACACTGTCTTCATTCTAGGGAACCATGAAGACAAACAGAAAACCTGCCATTTTATCAGTCTTTAAAACAATCAGACTATTTTTCTCCATGGAGAAATAGAGCTCAAGAGGTCCAAAAGGCCCAAGACAACTAGTTAGTAGGTTTCACCTTTCACCATAGGCTCTTTTCAATTTCAAAGTGATGCAATCAAGTCACTGAGCATCAGTCCCTTTAAGTGACAGTTATTTTCATTGGACCAGGGCACCTATTTCTGAGCCCAGAGACCATTGAAATCTGGAACTGGTTCTGGGCCAGGACAAGTGGATTCACTAGTGATACCTGGTGGACAGGTCAAAAGTCCTCTAGCAACACTCAGAGCCGACACGTTTACTAGTGTAACCAGATAGACCACCTGGCCAAGTTATATGACCAGAAGGGATAAGAAAGTCCAAAAGAAAACTTTAGAAGCTCTCCCAAAGCCAAGATTTCACCCAAAACCAAGACTTCTCACACAAATCTTGGTGTTCCACGATCCTAAGCCCAGCGCTAGAGATCCATGGCTGAAGTTTCTCAGTCTTGCCTGCACTCTCTTTCCTCTACTGAGGAGTTTCTTCTGCCTTCATTAAAAACCTAACAAGAGAGTGCTCTTTCAAGTTTTGTGAGCCCTTTTCAATGTGTTATCATGGTAGCCATCTAGAATGAAGACACCACCCTAGCCAATGAAGAGCATGAAAAGGAAATACCCAAGGAACAAAAAATAGAAAAGTTTTAATTGCATCCAAACAAAGAGAAAAAGGTGAAGCAATCTAGGAAATTTAAGACAAACTTGGTTTATTTAACAAGTTCAGAATGATGTTGTTTTAACTTTTATAATTTAACATGTTTACCTTAAATAGCTTACAAGAACACGGATGTTATATTCCTTTCAAAGATACTACAAGAAATGTTATTTTACCTGTGAACTCAGCTGCGTTTTAATCCAGTTGAAATAGTAATTTAAATCACTGCCCTCCATCAATTCTTTGCCCCATGCTGCTAATTTGGCAATAATTCTTGCAGCCTAAAATAAACAAAAAACTCATTTAAAGATTATACTGGTGAAAAGGGCTTATCATATACCTTAAAAACCAAGACGCCTATATTGCTACATGATTTTTGTTAACTTCCAATTCCTCCAAAAGCAACAAATTATAGCTGATTTTAAATAACATATTTGAAACACAAATATACATATGTTGTTGTTGCTAGGTGATGTCCAACTCATAGCAACTCTACGTACAACACAGAAAAGCATTACCCAGTCCTGCACCACCCTCACACTCTGTTCAGGTTGAGATCACTGTTGCAACCACTGTCTCCTCAATCAGTCTCCTTGAGGGCCTTCCTCTTTTTCACTGACCCTCTACTTTACCAAGCATCATGTCCTTTTCCCAGGAACTGGACCCTCCTGATAACATGCCCAATGTACTAGACACAAGATCTTGTCATCTTCGCGTCTAAGGAGTATTCTGTCTTTCTTCTAAGACAGATTTGTTCATTTTTCTGGAACTCCATGGTATATTCAATATTAACAATAATATAATCCAAAGTTATCAATTCTCTGGTTTTTTTATATAATGTCCAGCTTTCACATGCCTATATGAGGTGATTGAAAATACTATGGCTTGGGTCAGGCGCAATTTAAGTCCTCAAATAACTAGCATGTTGGCCCGATGCAATACCTCATTTGATTTCTTGACTATTTTAATCGTTTCTCTGTTAACCATGATGTTGCCTATTGTTCCAGTTCGGAGAATTTTTGTTTTATGTTAAAGTATAATCCATACTGGAGGTTATAGTCTTTGATCCTTATCAGTTTGGGAAATGTCAAGCATGTTCTTCCCTTTTGGTTTCCTAACTCCATCAGGTTTTACGTACTTCATGATAATACTGTGTCTTCTCGAGTCGCTCTTTGAAATTTTCTGTTCTGCTCTTTTACTTCATCATTTCTTCCTTTTGCTTTAGTTACTCTACATTCAACAGCATGTTTCAGAGTCTCTTCTGACATCCATTTTGATCTTTTCCTTCTTTCCTTTTTTTTAATGCCTTTTGCTTTCTTCAGGGATGATGTCCTTGATGTCATTCCTCAATTAGTTCAGTCTTCAGTCATTAGTGTTTAAAGTGTCACATCTATTCTTGAGATGGTCTCTAAATTCAGGTAAGATACACTTAAGGTCCTACTTCAACTCCTTTGGATTTGTTTTTCAAGTTTGTTCAGCATCAGTTTGAACTTTGATATGAGCAACCAATAGTCTATTCTGCAGTCAGTCCTTGGCCTTGTTTTGCCTAATGATGCTGAGTTTCTCCATCATCTCTTTCCACAGATGTAGTCAATCTGATTCCTGTGTATTACATCTGGTGAGGTCCACATATACAGCTGCTACTTATGTTGTTGCAAAAGTTATATCCAATGAATAGGTTGTTGGTCTTTAAAAATTCTATTTTATAATATCCAGCATTATTTCTTTCACCAAGTCCCTATTTTCCTCTTTGTTTTCAGCTTTTGAATTCCAATCACCAGTATGTATCAATGCATTACATGCTAAATCAATTTCAGACTTCAGAAATAGGTAAAAATCTTCAATGTCTTCATCTTTGGCATTAGTGGCTGGTGGAAACATTTGAATAATGATTGAATTAACTGGTCTTGCTAGTGATTATATGGATATTAGCCTATCATTAAAGAGCTCTGGTAGCATAGTGGTTATGAATCAGTCTGCTAACCTCAAGATCAGCAGTTCATAAGTACCAGCAGCTCCATGGGAGGAAGACGAGGTTTTTTGCTCCCATAAAGTTTACAGCCTTGGAAACCCAATACAGGGTTGCTATAAGTTGGAATTGACTCCATGTCACATAACCACCACCACTATCCTATCATTACAGAATTGTACTTCAGGATAGATCTTGAAAAGGTCTTTTTGACAATCAATGTGATAGCATCCCTTTTCTATTTGTCATTCTCTGCATAGTTTGTCCAATTCAAAATAGCCAATATCAGTCCATTTCAGCTCACTTACTAATACCTAGTGTATCGATCTTTATTCTATTTCATTTTTGACGGCTTCCAATTTTTCTAGATTCATACTTTGTCCATTCCACATTCTGATCTTTGTTTGCAGCTGTTTCTTCTCACTTTCAGTTGTGCCACATCAGAAAATGAAGGTCCCAAAAGTTTTACTCCATTCACATGATTCTCTGAGTAGGCAGTGCTTCCCTGTTGTATTTGGATGCCTTCCAATCTGAGGGGTTATCGTCTGGAACTAGAGCAGACAATGTTCCACTGCTGTTCATAAGGATACACTAGTAGTTTTGGGGGTTTTAAAAGTAAATTTCTAGGTCTTTTTCCCTATTCTTATTCGGGAAGAGCTACTGAAACATACCCACCATGAGTAATCCTGCAGACATTTGAAATACCAGTGGTATACATCATAGCAACTTATAAGCCACCGCAGTATGACAAACTGACAGGAGACTGGGGGAAATATACACGAAGGGGGCTTCAAAAAATTCACAGAAAAATAAAATGAAAAGATAATGGAATTTTTTCATGAATTATTTGAAGTCCCTCTTACAGAAATATGTAATTCAAAATGCATTTGGTAAGGGATTAACATTTTATTGTGAATTGGGTGAACATTTACAGAGCAACTATGTTTTCCATTCAACATTTCATACACATTTTGATTCATGTCATTGACTGCAATTCCCACAATGTAAATACGTGTTTTGCCACTTCCTACCTGTACTTTGTTTTCTATTCCTCCTTCTTTCCTACCTCTTCCTGCCTTCAGAACTTTGTCCCTGGGCAAATGCTGTCTTTTTATTTCAAATGGTTGATTATCCTAAAGAATCAGTACCTCTCTCTCTTCACCATAATTGCTTGGCTGGAAACTGAGTCATGGAGTTGAGTTTATTTCTATGCCTTAAAAGGTGACTGACTGAAAAGTGCAGCCAGAGTGCTCCATGGAGGCCAGGATGGCCAAACTTCATCTGTCATACTTCAGACATATTGTCAGGAGGGACCAGTCACTGGAGAAGGATATCATGTTTCGTAAGGTAGAGGGTCAGAGAAAAAGAGGAAGAACACAGTGAGTTGGATTGGCAAAGTGGCAGCATCAATGGGCTCAAGCTTGGCAACAATTGTGAGGTTGGCCCAGGACCAGGCAGTGTTTCATTCTGTTGTGCATAGGGTCACTATGAGTCGGTACTGAGTCGATGGCACCTAACAACAACAACAAGGGCCATAGTCTCGGAGCTTCCATCAGTTTCTATTTGAACAGTAAACCTGGTCTTTTCTATGAGTTTGAGTTTTGTTCTACATTTTCCTTCCCCTCTATAAAGGGCCCTCTATTGTGATCCCTTTCAGAGCAGTCTGCTGTGGTAGTTGGACCCATCTAGTTCTTCTGGTCTCCTTGATCCAGGTGACAGAGCTGTGACACCAGAGGAGCAGGCAGATGAGTGACAAGCAGCAAAACTGAGAACCAGAGCACAAGCCAGAGTACTGGGTTTCCTGGCCTACAGAGCAGGTAAAGCTGAGTACCTTCAGGCAGGTGGCTTGCTTGTTGAGTGGGGTGCCTCCAGGTACTCAACTGGGAGAGATAGGTTTGCTGATCCAAAGATCTAGAGCTGAGCACCTTCAGGTGAGGTTTGTTACAGAAGTGTGTGCCCTCTGAGCATTTATCAGCAGCCCCAAGAAAGTTTTGTAACATTGCCCAAGCAGGGCAGAGGCCAAGGTGTCATAGGGCTGAGAGGCCAAGGGCCAAAGAGAGGCCTGCCTGTAGGCATGTCTGGGAAGAGGCTGTCCTGACTAAAGAACTGTGTCTTGGACATTTCTAATCCTGAATTCAACCAGTTAACTTCCCTAATAAAACCCATAATCTTGAGTATGGTTTGTAAGTTGTGTGTGGCCATTTCAATGTATTATCAAACCCAGCTGAGACGCATAGAAAGTACAGAGTACTATTAGAGGGAAGGTTGGTGTCAGAACTGGTAAGGAAGATTGAAGGACTGAGGCATGTCTAACCTCTGCCTTGTAGCAATTACCTTGGGGCAAGAGTTTGATTATCCTTTCCCCTTGAAGCCAGAGGAGATCAGATGCCATCCCCTCCCTGGCATTTTATAACAGACTTTCATTAAAATCACCTGTCAAAGTTCTAAGAAATCTGTCTAACAGATTCCTATCTACTACCTCACTCCTTTTATGCCTCTTAAGAATTCTCATCCTTATCTCAGTATAGTATATACTTTGGTATTAAACAGCCATCTCTCACTAACATAAACAAGTACCCTTTCTCTTCAATGATTTTTCAATTTTCTTCATTATTATTTAATAATAAGGTAATGTCTTTTTATTAAATAGGCAGTATAAATAATACTTCTTCACACATATAGCCCAATTCAATAAAAATTCTTTCAGAATTCTCTAAAAACAGGTCGCTGTTCTAAAACCCCAATTTCTCAGCAATAATTTATCCCAACAGAACGGAAGGCTGTGGCAGTGAACTAGTAGTATTTGTTCTGACATTGAACACAGCTCAGCCGGACTGTGTGGTAGGCGTCTAGTTGGAATTTACAATGTGGAGAGAGGGGCAGCAGGGGCACCTGTACTCACTCCCCGAGTTATGATACACTGATGTCTTCATGGGCTCAGCTAAATGAATGTAGAGATTTCACTATCTAGTATTAATTGGTCTTTCACAAAGTAGACAGGGCTTATATCATTTCCTATATGGAAAACATGGATTAAAATAATATCAGCAGTATAAATTAAAAGATTAATAACAAACCTGACATTTTTATTCCAAGCATAAGCTCTTAACTGGCACATTATAAGGTAAACCAATGTCATTATTTCAATTTCTCCTTCCTTTACAGGAACCAATTATATAACTGACCAAAAAAAGATAAAACATGGATTTGGTGACTTGATTCATAATTATGAGGGAGAAAGGTAGAATCAGTGAGCTTCTGTTACAAGTGATGAAAAAATCTGAAAACAGATAGTGATAATAGTTGTACATCATGAGGAACATAATTAACGTCACTGAATTGTACACATAACAAATGCTGAAATGGACAATGTTTTCCAGTACATAAAAGGGGGCTTCAAAAAGTTCATGAAAATATTCCATTATCTTTTCATCTTTTAATGCCATTTTTCTCATGAACTTTTTTAAACCCCTTATTATGTAGTTTTACCATAAAAGAGAGAATTATTGTTGTTAAGTGCCTTCAAGTCAGTTCTGAGTTGTAGCAAACCCTATATAGGATTTCTGAGGCTTTAAACCTTTTGAAGAAGCAGAAAGCCTCATCTTTCTCCCACAGAGCAGCTGGTGGGCTCGAATAATGGACCTGTGGCTCACAGTCCAGGGCTTATCGTATGGAGACACCACGCTACACAAAAAAAAGGCAGGACTTGTACCTAAATATATATGTGCTCTTTTATATATTTGTCAATTATATTATAAATCCTTCAAAATTAACACATTTTAAGTAAGCTTCCAGAAAATGAAAACAAGCTTCTATAATTTGAAAGAAGAAAGTATATTACTGATTTCTTAAAATTATTCTTTAAAATATAACTTTATGGCTCCTTGTGTTTTATTTCTCTGTTTATAAATGTATAAATCATGTATACAGTATGAACACATTGGTACCTAGATGAGTGTAGGCAGAGAGAGTGTGTGTGTGTGAGTGGGCCTGTGCTCAGAAATGTCACACTGCTAATGGTTCTTGATGTCAAACACAAAGAGATAGCTACTGGAAATGCAGCCGAGACATTCCCCATCCTCCAGCCACTCCATGGTGGGAAAAGAACACTACCTGTACAAAAGTTTATTCTTCTAACCCTCCTCTCAAATATCCTGCAGGCTCCACAAAAGATTTTTCAAGTTACAGTTTCCAAAGACAGCCCTTCAGGCTACATTTAATTAAACACAGTAGTTGCTTCAAGGTAAAATTTAATTTCTACATAGCAGTGGTGGTAATGGTGGGCTGTGAAGTTAGTTCCAACTCATAGTGACTCTGTATAGGGTTTCCAAGGTCAAAGATCTTCACAGGAACAGAAAGTCTCATCTTTCCTCCGCAGAGCAGCTGGTGGATCCGAACTGCTGACTTTGCAGTTAGAAGCCCAATGTGTAATGTATGACACTCCCAGGGCTGCTTTTCTACATAGTAAATTATGATTAATCCTGTCATAGACAATCCAAAACTTTTTGCACATGTGAATTTACCAAGGGTTTCTTACACTAATACACTCATCATACAGTCTGCAAAACTTTAGCTATATCAGAACAATCCTGTCTTCTTTGAAGACCCAATATCACCACATAACTAAACACCAATAAGGAAAGCTGCTTCTAAAATTAAACATGGCAGAAATTACTTCTCTGGCAACTGGAAGATTAGCAAGTCATAAATACCTCAGGTTTGTCTCTTCCCTAAATTAGAAATGTAATCAATTCAATATTTACCATATGAACAGTAAAGAGATCCTGGCGATTCAACATTGGCAGAAAATAGGACCAGGCAGTGTTCTTGCTACGTTTTGCATAGTCAAAGAAAATGCTAACACGCTGATGATTTTCCTAAAACAGAAAAGAAATTGTATCACTAATCAAAATGATTTTTACCACGGTAACAATTGTGAATTGCTTCTCAACCTTTCACTTTAAGTCCCATTTAAATTCAGTGAGTCTTTTTTTCTGGTGTATATAATCTGTTATTATTGCTGTATGGCGGGGGAGGGGTAGATCCTTAAAAACTATATCCACCTTTAATTATTCTGATTATTTCAAATCATCTGAGACAACATAGCAAATCCCAGCACTACAAGGTGTAAGAATATGAGTGACCTTCTCAGCATGCCCCTCTGACCTGCCCTTCCCCGTGTTACCGTGTTGACAGAGGGTGAGCACCCGATTCCACACAAGCAAAATCAGGAGGGGGCAGGTAGAAACATCATCAATGAACTTTGGTGGAAAGATCAGTAGGTAGAAAACTGCTCAAAACCAGACAAGGAAAAAGGGGGATTAGAAAAACCAACTGTTCAAGATTACACTTAGCATACCACAATAGAAAAATCAAGAGCAGATAAAGACAGCAAAAAAGCAACGTACCACACAAGCAGGTGGACATAGGATTTGAAGAAGAGTAAATTATTCCTTGAAATCATGTAAACTTCCACTATCACCAAAATTTTCTCAGCATAACACTGATTGAAATCTACTTTCTGACTCATTCATTACGAGAATATATTTGCTAATTAGCAGTATTTACTAAAAGCTCAAATAAGCAATAATTTTTATTTTTTAATCAAAATTTAATTCTTACAGTTACCTACTTCAGGAACAGACAACCATCTACTTAAGTAATGAGTAGCTATGAAATACAGTTATGACAACAACTTTATCAAAGTAAAAATGATATCATTTTAGATAAAATTAGACCCTATCTGCCCAACTAGGTCCTTGGTGATTTCCTCTCCTCATAAAGATGTGCAGTGGATGGACTGACTCCAGCCATCATTCTCCCTGGCACCCAGGTTTCAAACCTTTAAGAAATGTGGACAAAGCCCTTCTAGTCAAGGAACCTGGCACCTGCTGTTGGTACCAGGCACAGAAAAGATCATCAAAATCATGAACATGAGGAAAAATAAGTAAATCTGTTCAAAAATCGTTTTTTCAGAAGTGATAAGAATGAAATGACTGGAATAAAAATAGGAGTGAAATTAAACAACAATCACTTTACAAAAAATAAAATAGTAAAAGTGTGTATACATTTCTCAATAAAACTAAAATTTTATAAATAAAATCAACTGTTAAAATACATTGAGTTGATAGCTGAGGATAATGGCAACTCCATAACTCTGAACCTCCCCATACATCTTCCATGGACAGCACAGCTCAACAAGAGAAAACAGGTAAAACCACACAAAACCTAGGCCTTCAGAACAGAAAACAAAGAATACAAACTTCCAAAGACTGTTTTCCAGCAAAGCTTTCTCTCATGCTTTCACCTCACAGAATGAAACAGCAAGTTTAGCAAATTACAATAGAACCTAGTTCTACACAAAGAGTACTAGAACCCAGTATGACAGAGTTCAGACCAAACATCTTAGTAATGTGAATAAATGTAGAAGACTTAATTCACCTACTAAAAGAAACTGGTATACAAACCAACCAAGAAGAATGCTATATTATTTATAAGAGATACACCTAAAACTATATGATTCAAAATGGATGGGCAAAGACATGTAGACAAGTGGAAAGCAGGGGTTGTGACCCTTACATCAAAATGGAATTTAAGACAAAATGCAGTAAGTGTGACAAGCAGGATACTTTTAATGCCAAATGCCATAATTCACAATGTAGATATAATAGTAATGAGTATCTATGCACCAACAGCATCTACCTTCATAGAACAGAAACAGTAGGTAATGCTACAATAACAGAAACACAGCCATAAAAATTGTAATATGTATACTACTCTCAGTCTAAGACAGATCAAGAAAACAAAAAATAAAGATATAGAAGGTCTCAATAGCATAATCAGTAAAGTATATTTTACAGATATATTAAAGAAACATTACACCCTATAATAAACAATAGATCTTATTAAACACACATGGTACATTGTTTTGAAAGCAGATCATATATTAATTAACAAAGAAAGGATCTGTAATGCTATGTTTTAAATGTTACATTGTAAAAACAATATTTCTACCTTATATACAAAAAAAAAAAAAAAAACGCACTGCCATTGAGTCATTTCAAACTCATAGCAATCCAATATAGGGTTTCCAAGGCTGTAAACCTTTTGGGAGCCAGAGAGCCTTGTCTTTCTCCCATGGAACAGCTGGTAAGTTGAAACTGCTGACCTTGTCACTAGCAGTCCAGTAATTATCCCACAGTGTCAACAGGACTCATACACTATGTAAGGATGGGATAAAAGGGAGCAATACTATCTGAAGTTAGAAATGTAGAGCAAAAAAAACATTTTAATGTGCCTTTATCAAACTTTTTTAAAGGTATAAAACAACACTTCAGCGTAAGGATCAATGCAAACTGAATTACAGAAACTCTAAAAAATTCTAATAAAATCACTATGTATCAATCAACACAACAAATGAAGAGAGCACAAGAAAGAAAATAATAAAGACAAAAGCAGAACTTAAGGTAAAGAACAAAAAAACTACAGATAAATTTAATATCAAAATCCTGGTTGTTTAAAAAAAGGAACAAAATAGGGTAGAGAATGGCACTAGTTAGCTTAATCAAAGGACAAAAAAAGAGAGCACAAATAAACCAAAAAATGACATGAAATGTTTTTGTTACAGAAACACTAGGTAGCTAACACAGCATAAATTTCTACCTACAGAACTGTAAAACAACATAACCCTGCTGTTTAAAGCCACGCATCTCTGGTGCTCTTGTTACAGCAGCAACAACTAAAACAAGGATACAGCCCACTATCTTATCTCAGCTACTAGTTTAACACTGTATGAGGATAAGCAAAAAGCATTGCTACTAGGATTCCAGTTTATATACGCACAGGTTTATTCCAAACAAAAGGAGTTTAAACAGGATAGTAGATGACTGCACACATATTTCCTCAGTAATCCACTTACCTTAGGTTTGTTACCAGCCCAACCTACTGCCACTAAGTCAATTCCGACACAGAGTGACCCTGTATAGGCTTTCCAAGGCTGTAAATCTTTACAAGAGCAGAAAGCTGTATCTATCTCTCAAGGAGCAGCTGGTGGATTTGAACAGCCAACTTTGCTGTTAGTAGTCCAGTGCCACCAAAGCTCCTAGTCTTGTTAAGAGTGCTTTCAATTTAAAGATCTGAACAAATTAATGCCTTCTGTGATATCTGCTACACCAGTTCAATAAAAAGCAGAGGTACCAGTTCAGTATGGTATCTTTGCCTTGAATTGAACTGGCCTAGCAGATATGATGTCTGATTCTTTTATTCCAAAGAGGTTATCTTGATGGACTTTCTCAAAGGACACACGACAATCACAGGGGCTTATTAGGAAGAAGTTTCAAGAAATTCTCAAACTGCTTTGGTGAAGAAAAGGGCAAGAAGGCAGCATCAAAGTTTTTTTTTCCATCACAACAATGCACCAAGCTCATTCTACAAGGCTAGTGATGTTCTATGAAAATTTCACTGAAAAACCTTACCCCATCTACCATACAGTCATGATTCTGTGCTTTCAAACTTCTTTTTGTTCCCAAAACTCAAATAACATCTTAAAAGAACACAACTTAAGCCCCTTGAGCAGGGGTGGGGAACATCTGGCCTGCAGGCCATCTAAGGTCCACAAAATCATTTGATCTGGCCCAGCCAAGGCAACCACAGTTCTAATCATCACATTGTTGTTGTTGTTGTTGTTAAGTGCCATCGAGTCAGTTCCAACTCACAGCAACACTGTAGAGGGTTTCCAAGGGGTGTTTAGTGAGTTTGAGCCACTGACTTTGAGGTTCAAACCGACCTTGAGGTCCAGTGCTTTGTCCCACAGCACCATACCAGACTCCAGCCATCACATTGTTGTTGTTGTTGTTAAGTGCCGTTGAGTCGTTTCCGACCCATAGCGACCCAGCCATCACATTAGGGTGAGTTAATTCAATGTTTGACCAAATATAGTACACTAATTTTTAAGTTGACAATTTTATGTGGCTGTGAATGATGTTATAAAATTTGGCAGCAATCTAGCACACTGTCCTTTAGGGAAGCATAAGATTGTTAATGAAACAAAGACCTACAGAAAAAAAGCAAAATGTTTGGCTTTTAGAGTTTTAAGCAAGCTATTTGCTTTGGAAATATTAAGGCAAGAAAAAGTCAGCCCATCAGGGAAAATCCCTTTCTATCACTGAAAGTCAAAGGGAACCCTCAAGCAGTCTAGGATGCTCACTGGTGACTATTTGGGTCTACTTGTGAGTGGAAGTAGGGGAAATGCAGCAATGAAGGCACAGGCTGAGTTTGGACATGTTCCATTGACACCCGTTGGCCTTAAGATGACAGAGGAAAAAGGAAGGGCTGGATGGTCTGAAGTGTAGGGAGCTGTGTGAACTCCTGAGCCCCTGGGCACTCATCTGACTCCTGGGGGATAGGGCTGAGGGTGAAGGGGCCAGCTGATATGAAGTGCAGGAAGGTGTGCGTGAACCCACAAACTTGCAGCTGGTACCCACTTGACCTAGCTTGGATGGCTAGGGCTGAGAGGACCAAAACCTGACCACATAAAGGTAATGTTTGATACTGTGATCACATATAAATTTCTACAATTTGATGAACTGGACTTTTGCTTATGGATGCAGTTGCTCAAAATTCTAACCAGAATGGAAGATTCTTCCTATCAAGGAACATGCTTGTCTCCATAGTGTACTAGATTGATTTGTTGTTATTAGTGCCGTTGAGTCAGTTCCAACCGATAGCGACACTGTATAGAGTTAACAACTTTGTAGTTAAACCAAATGGGCAATTTAGACATTGGCTATCAAAAATAGCGGTGGAGGGGAAATACAGGCAGAAAGCTTATAAGCTTTCATGGGTATGCTTGCTTTCAGAATGAAGTGGCTAAGGTAGA